CACTTGTGTGTGTGACAACTAATGGGACTTTAACTTTAACTTTAACGCCGTAGCCACGCCCACATTCACACGTGCAACGACCAGAGTTTGTCTCTCGCGGTTCAGACTCATAACCTTTTGCATCCTGCATTCTTTATAAGACTGCTTTCAGATGTAAAACGGGCAGTGCGTGGTTACCATGGTGACCTTCGTGGGCTGCTCATGGATGCCATTGGTCACGCTAATGAGCTTCTGGTAGCAGCGTTAACATTTCTTGGTTGCCATTACGAGTCTTTTACCGTTACTCCATACTCATGCAGGTACGTTCCTCTGAGAAAGAAGACTTTAGAAGTTCTACGTCGTACTCGACTCATTTACTTTAGCTGAGTGTTATAATAATGGGCTGTCTTTGATGCAGCGCCTTCTAGAGTCCTGGAAGCCCCCAAGGCGTTTTACAACATGATCAGTCATTCACACACACACATCTACATGCTGGTGGTGATGAGCTACGATGCAGCCACAGCTGCCCTGGCGCACGCTGACAGCAGCAAGGCCACCAGTCCCTCTGACCATCACCAGCAGGTGAGGTGGGTTAAGAGCCTTGCCCAAGGGCACAACGGCAGCGACAGACTGAGCGGGGCTCGAACCAGCAACCTTCTGATTACAGGTGGGGCACTTAAGTCCTGTGCCACCATCGCCCATCGTGTTGATGTAGTATTTACATCCATCCACACGGCTTAAATAAACCACGCATTCACACAAGCAGTGTTTTTAAAGACGAGCCGGTGTTGGATCCCGTGTGACAGATTTCAAACAGAAAGGGAATATTTATCTGGCTGGCAGCCAGGCTTTGACTCCCATACTTCTAATGACACTCCCAACATCACATTTCATTCCTTTTTCACAGGCGCTCCCAAAACTGACGGAAGGAAACGCAATTAATCACAACAAGTGCCGTCTGTGCCGCTCTGTTTGTTTTTGTCTTGCATTCACGCTTTCTGCCCAGATCTGCTGTCTTTGAATTAAGATTTAATTTCCCCGCCCTCAAAAATCCAAACCTCAATAAGTCATCAGATAGTGATTGAGTGAGATGATAAAAACTATGCAGCTGCTGGGCTCTTTCTGAACCATTACTCATCTGATTGGTGCACTTTAAGGACGCTTGATCACAGTAATTAGGATCTTGTTGCTTTTGTTGGAGGCCAGGAGTGTTTCTGCTGAAAATCAGATATTTACTGTAAAGTTTCTGTCTCCGTCTGGCTGGATGGAAACCATCTGTGTTTAACTCAAACATGATGAATAAAATTCACCTGTTTCTCTCAGATAAGTGGTGTGTTTGGTGCTTCTTCTCCTTGTGACAGCAGCAACTATCCAGAGCTGACGGGTATGGGTTAGGGCTAAACTTTGCTTTTCCAGGTAGCTGGATGTGACGAGACAACTGTAGTCCTAACATGACAACTGTAGTCCTAACATGACGGCTGTGCTGTACACAGAGCTGAGAGACAACCAATCAGCTTCAGCCATGATGCTGCCAGTCACTTTTGACATAAACAAGCATCTCTGCATTCATCATGCAGATTAAATATGGGTTTACAATGTCTTTGTGCTAATTACCCAACATGCATTGTGGGCCGTAGCATTCCCTCAGATAACAGAAGTCCTGACAGGAAAAGATGAGCGCTCACATGTACAAACAGGGTCATTTTGCAACGGCTCAAAGAAGCATGAACCTAGAAGCAAACACTGACACTTAACAGATAGATGTTGTTTCTAGAAGCAGTAGAGTCCCACACGGCAGCACAGAAGGATGTTAAAGGTGAGTACAGCTTCCTTTACACCTTCTAGCAGCCGGGTCTCACCAGGAAGGCTGGTCCAGATCTACGACAAATGTTATATTTCTACAATTAATGTTTGAAAAGAGTAAAATGCAACAAATGTTTTTTTTTAAGAGCATGAATCATGACCCGACCGGATCCCCGACCCACGAGGACTTAATGAACTCATGAATGCCAACGTTTAACTGCTGTGTGTGTGTGTGTGTGTGTGTGTGTGTGTGTGTGTGTGTGTGTGTGTGTGTGTGTGTGTGTGTGTGTGTGTGTGTGTGTGTGTGTGTGTGTGTGTGCAACATAAGGGTAGTATGAGCCACCTTATGTCACAAAAATGAGGTAATACATTTTACTTAAATCTCTTCAGTTCTCTAACATCAGCTGGGATTCAGAATAGAATAGAATAATAATAATAATGCATTGAACTTATATAGCGCTTTTCTAGACACCCAAAGACGCTTTCACACACTCTCTCATTCACACACTGCTAGTGATGGTAAGCTACTTGTAGCCACAGCCGCCCTGGGGAGGTCTGACAGAGGCGAGGCTGCCATTTGGTGCCGTCGGCCCCTCTGACCACCACTAACACAGGCAAGTTGGGTGAAGTGTCTTGCCCAAGGACACAACAGCAGGATACCCCTGGCGGGAGCTGGAATCGAACCCATGACCCTCCGATCATGAGGCAACCCGCTCTACCACCTGAGCTACTGCTGCCCCATAGAATAGAATAGAATAGAATAGAATAGAATAGAATGGAAAACTCGTCTGTTGTTCCTCATGGGGACCTTGTGGTGTAGAAGCAGCAAAGCAGATTGAATAAATAAAATTATATATTAAAAAAAAAGATTTTTGGGAAATGGAGTGAAACCAGCATCAGAGTTTACAGCTAATTAAATCTGATTTAATTATAATGTCTTTAGTTTTAAAACAGTAATTCAACTCATCTGGACCTCCAAGGCAAACATCCTGAGTTGATAAAGGTCAAGTTCAGCATCTGCAAAAAAAAAGTGTAAATGTTTCTGTTAAACAGTTATGAGTCAGAGAGAAAGCAGCTTTTAGAGGTGGAGGAGAGGCAGGACCACCACTATAAAATCACCAGAGTTGGTTTTTCTGTGTCCACCAGGAAAAGAACTAGCTGATAAATCCAACCTGAGCTTCTCATGCGTCATGGACAAATTCATGTTTATTAATTCCCACAGTTATGACTGTTTGACTCGTCTGATCATTGTCTCCTTTACTCTCCGACTACAGGAAATGGGTTATTGATAAACATATTGATGAAATCCATGACATTATCTTAGAAATACGTTGTAGTCTCACTTCACTTTTGTTCATGGTGAAAAGCCTGTGTTTGATACAGCGCCTTCTAGAGTCCTGGAACCCCCCAAGGACCTTTACAACACAGTCATACACCCATTCACACGCTAGTGGCGATGAGCTACACTGTTGCCACAGCTGCCCTGGCACCACCGGTTCCTCTGACCGCCACCAACAGGTGAGTGGGGTTAAGTGTCTTGACCAAGGACACAACGACGGCAACAGACTGAGCGGGGCTCAAACCTGCAACCTTCCGACTACGGAGGAGCGCTTAATTCCTGTCCCACCGTCGCCCCGTTGTTAATTGGTGGATTCAAACTCTAAACATTCAGTTCCTGCAAAACCTTCCAGCTTACGCTGAATTACCAACTTGTGGGAAATCAAGCCTGATTTTTCAGTGGAATAATTTAAGAACCATCGTTTTCCAGAGTCAACCCGTTATTTGTTCAGTCTACAAACAACTCATCAGTCATGAAACGCCCCACCTGCAGACCCAAGAGGCCATCTTTGACCAGCTGATGTGGATTCAGGGGAATACGGCTCGTGGCATCCAGAACCCTCGCTTGCCGAGGAAACTTCCTGCCGGCCGGACTGTGGAGAAGCCTCCATACACACAGATACTGTATCTCTGCAGTGGATGGGTTAGGGTTCATGCGATAACTTGTTAAAGTCATTAAATGTAACCACTTAAACGTTACAACGGCGTGCCATAGTTTCCTAGTTCTGCACTTCATTTTTTAGATTTTAGTTAATCGACATAAAGTTTTTAACAACATGAATAAACAGTTTTATTTGTTTATTCAGATTTGTTTCATTGCTCTGTGAAGCATTAAACATCAGTGCTAATGGGCGTATCTAGAGGTTGCTGGGGATTCTACACCCCTTGTGTTGCCGTAGACGCAATAAATGTAATGGACTTTAGGCAGACCAGCACTTTAATAATAGATCATTCCAGAAACAAGGTTATTTTATTTCATGCCGTGTTTTCTTAACGAATGAGGAACACGGTGTGTTTTCTGCTCCTGTTCTGTAGAACAGACACTGTTCTGGACCAGGTGACTGCTGCAGACTTGGCTTTTGTCTAAAGCAACATCGCTCACCTCTGAGTTCTGGGATTCCCGCAGGAACAACTTCCCTCTGCAGCAGCTGGATTCTACCCTGGAATGTGCAGAAATCTTAGTTTTCTTCCCGCTGAACAAATGTCTTGTGTCCAGAGTTGTGTCCGACTTTAACGCCGCGGAGCTGCAGGAGCTGCTTCCATCTGATTGAGTGAGAGTGGCGTTGACCTTCAGCCGTTTTACTGAGACTGTATTAAAAAGGCCTGGCTACAGCCGGTTTTATGGCCCAGCCTTTCCAAGGTCCTGCTGACCTGATGGATATTACCAGGATAAATCAAACTTCCATGTCTCCACTCTCATCCGCATGAAGGCTGGGAGCATGACTGTTAGCTGAAGAACGGCTGGACTTCCAACTTGGTGTGTCTAAGTGTGACATTTCACAGTTACCTGGATGCAGGCCTGATATTCCCTGTGTGTGTGTGTGTGTGTGTGTGTGTGTGTGTGTGTGTGTGTGTGTGTGTGTGTGTGTGTGTGTGTTTGGTATGTAGAATCTACTCTGAGCTCCGTGTACAGCAATGTCTCTGCTGTAGACACATGGACTTGTTAACCATGAGGACACAAAGAAGGACAGAGAGGACACACAGGGGACAGAGAGGACACGGAGGGGGACAGACAGGACAGCGTGTCCCACTGATGGACCACATTCTCCTACTCAGAGCAGCAGGGCTGTTTTGTGGGATTTAAGCCTCAGAGTGTTGACAGCTGGATGATGGCGCCGTAATTCACGTGCCTCGCTGTGCTCATCTGGATGTAGCGGGAGCACTAAGGGCACATCTTCTTAATGACACTGTCGCGTGCCCGTCCCATTTACCGGTTCCTTTAAAACCCAGTTCCGTTAGAACTTATGAGACGGTGCATCCATCAGGGTTCGATGGGGATGTCGGTGAGTATTATGGTATTAGATCCTGGTTTGGGCGTCCTAAGTTAGAATCATATCTTTTATTTTAAAGGTGAAATAATATGTAAGACCTTTCCTTCTGTTGTAGCTCACTTCTTTTTAAGCAATCCCGTTATCTTAAGGTTTCTTTATATTAATCTGTCACAAACCGTAAAGTAAGTCCTGATAATTCCAGAACCCATAATTAATGTGCTTACCTCTGTGCAATTAATGATCAGAGCCCCCACTCGTGAAGCTTTAGAGAAAACCTGAAAGAATCAGGATTATGTTTCTTTTTCAAAAAAGGTTTATTACAAAATCAAAATACAAAAATGGGTAAAGTAAAAAACAACTACTATCCCCCACGGAGGAATTAGTTCAAAATGATTAAATGAGAGTCAGTTTACACCAGCTCTCGTCTTCTCAGAATCTCCCCAAGAACGAAGCCTGAAGCCCTCTCTCGAAGAACCGCCTGTCATCCCCCATCCAGCAGGACGGGGGATGACCCCTCCAAATCTGCTCTGTCTCTTCTTGTCGTCTGCCCCAGCTCTGTCGAATCTCTCAATCTCTCTCTGCTGTTCAGAGCTGTTCTTATATACCCTTCCTGGACCAGCTTAAGGTCAAGGGGTCATTTACCAGATACACACTTTGTAGCTCAACACAAAACATTTGGTGTCATTTTCCTTCTTAACACAGGTCATTGCATCATCTTTTGCAGCATTCTTCAGTTTCTCTCCAATGTTCCCGAGAGGGCTTCTGGATCTGATGGGCTTGTCTTCATTCTGTTCTCCTCCAATCCCATCTTTCCAAGCCAGGGGTGGGGCAAAGAGGTGGGGTCAGTCTCCTGACCCTTCGCCCAGTTCTGTCCTCTTGTCCCTGTGACCCTTGTGTGACCCTTGTTTCTGACCACAGTTTTTTGACCTGCAGCCCAGCTCCTGTCGGCTGGCTGATTTTGCTCGCACAAGCCAGTCCAGTGTGTTTCAGCTTGCCACTGTCTTTGGCATGTGGGGACTCGCAACATCCCCCATGCGAGAAAAATCTAGCCAGGGGACTGCAGCAGCCTTCTTTGGGGTGGGGCTGCCTCCTCCTCTGGATCATCTTCATCTCCAGTCTCAGACCCAGAGTCTGACTAGCTCAGAGTCCAGATACACACCATCATCATCATCATCATAACTCACTTCAGTCTCTGAAGAACCAGATGTTTGTTCATGAGGGTTCAGATCTGGGTTCCTGCTTCTCCACCAGTTTCAGCTGCCATCTGGTCAGCTGAGCTGCTGGTTGGAACATCTCAGTCTGCTCCTTCAAGCAGAGACTCTCTCCCTCCAGACTGAAGACATCTTTTACTGCAGAGCTTCAAATATTCTCCTCACACACCTGAACAGCAACAAGCTAACGCTGCTTGTAGCTGCAGGTGGGAAGCTTACGCTAAAAACTATAAAGTGTGGCAAGGTGGATAAATGATGGCACGGGCGGGATTAGATCCCGAGAACTCCAAGGTGGGAGTCATGCGCTCTAACCACTCAGCCAAAGGGACATCCCCTTAGCCAGCTGGCCAGGGCGCATCATCAATCAAGACATTGTGACAGAACGCTCACACTGTCACATCTTCCTCCCTTCTTTCCACAAGCTCGTCCTCGTACTCCCGCGCAGGGTGCCACAAACTTCACATCCACTGACCTACTTGACAGCACTACATGGATCCTGCCTACAACACCATATGTAGCGAGGTTAAAAATGCTTACGCATTATTAGTGTAGCTGTCTGTCAGGTCAGAATCATACGGAGCTGTTAGTTCAGGACTCTCCCTTCTCAACAGAACTAGTAGGGGGAGGGGTGATGTCACCACATCCTGCTTGTCTGTTGTTGCTCAGCTGACTTGAGTGCTTTTTCTCTGTTCAGCTGTGGCTTCTCATATCTGCAGGCTGCCGAGAGCGGAAGCTAGGTGCTTGTTTCAAGCAGATCCTCTAAAAACAAAGTTTAATTGGAGCAGAGTTCCAATGCTCCCAGTTATAAGTCCGTCCTTTACAGGCGGCACGGTTTCTCCCCTCACGGAGCCCTTAAGCACAGAGGTTCACACATTAAACATGTTCCCGGCTTCTAGCCTCCATTGCGCGTGACGATGCCCGACATGAGATTCTATGAAGCTAGGAAACATGATTACTTTACAGTTCGTGACAAATACCTCCCCGTGTTACCAGAAACGAGGCCCAAGTCACACAGATTCTTACATATCAGTCCTTCACTAGATTTTGATCCAGCCATGACGTTTAATCGCATCTCACTTGTGCCTCAGCACCCGGACAGTGCCCCGCCGCAGCTCCATACTAGCTTTTCCAGCCTCATTCTGAAAGCTCCGGTTACAGGATATTGAAAGATCTATCTGCCATGGCTGGTTAAAAGTTTTTCTTATTCTTTATTTATTTTTATTTTTTGCCTAGCTTTTATCCTTGGCTTTTCTTGCGTCGGAATGCCGTATTTTCTTTATACCTTTTTAAGTTGATCGTCCGTTCTCCCAGATTTCTTTCTTTTTCGAGAAACTGGTGCGGTTTTCACTCCAAGGTTATAAGCTTAATAGGTCCTTAGCGCGCAAGCTTTTATCAGCCTAAAAGACAGTTCTACGTCGGATAGCCCGGTATCTAATATTTAGACCTTCACTCCGTAGCCCCACGTTTGGCGCGCCATGTCGCGAGCCCGTCCCATTTACCGGTTCCTTTAAAACCCAGTTCCGTTAGAACTTATGAGACGGTGCATCCATCAGGGTTCGATGGGGATGTCGGTGAGTATTATGGTATTAGATCCTGGTTTGGGCGTCCTAAGTTAGAATCATATCTTTTATTTTAAAGGTGAAATAATATGTAAGACCTTTCCTTCTGTTGTAGCTCACTTCTTTTTAAGCAATCCCGTTATCTTAAGGTTTCTTTATATTAATCTGTCACAAACCGTAAAGTAAGTCCTGATAATTCCAGAACCCATAATTAATGTGCTTACCTCTGTGCAATTAATGATCAGAGCCCCCACTCGTGAAGCTTTAGAGAAAACCTGAAAGAATCAGGATTATGTTTCTTTTTCAAAAAAGGTTTATTACAAAATCAAAATACAAAAATGGGTAAAGTAAAAAACAACTACTATCCCCCACGGAGGAATTAGTTCAAAATGATTAAATGAGAGTCAGTTTACACCAGCTCTCGTCTTCTCAGAATCTCCCCAAGAACGAAGCCTGAAGCCCTCTCTCGAAGAACCGCCTGTCATCCCCCATCCAGCAGGACGGGGGATGACCCCTCCAAATCTGCTCTGTCTCTTCTTGTCGTCTGCCCCAGCTCTGTCGAATCTCTCAATCTCTCTCTGCTGTTCAGAGCTGTTCTTATATACCCTTCCTGGACCAGCTTAAGGTCAAGGGGTCATTTACCAGATACACACTTTGTAGCTCAACACAAAACATTTGGTGTCATTTTCCTTCTTAACACAGGTCATTGCATCATCTTTTGCAGCATTCTTCAGTTTCTCTCCAATGTTCCCGAGAGGGCTTCTGGATCTGATGGGCTTGTCTTCATTCTGTTCTCCTCCAATCCCATCTTTCCAAGCCAGGGGTGGGGCAAAGAGGTGGGGTCAGTCTCCTGACCCTTCGCCCAGTTCTGTCCTCTTGTCCCTGTGACCCTTGTGTGACCCTTGTTTCTGACCACAGTTTTTTGACCTGCAGCCCAGCTCCTGTCGGCTGGCTGATTTTGCTCGCACAAGCCAGTCCAGTGTGTTTCAGCTTGCCACTGTCTTTGGCATGTGGGGACTCGCAACAACACGTGTGTACTCCACCACTTCCTGTTCTGAGCTGTGAAAGCTTCTCGTTTCTGCTGATTATCGCCTCCGTGAATCTTAATGTGGCTGCGGCGTGGAAGCACGAGTGTGAGCTGGTGCAACATTAGTGTTTGGTTTCTAGAACAGTGTCATCAGCAGCTCAGACTGTCGAACACGAACCAATCATCATTTCTTTAGACGAGGTGTTAACTCATTCACTGCCAATGACAACTAAAGTCGTCATTTGCATTTTTTGTACTGTTTGAGCATGGGAACGAGCCCTCGCACTGAGAGAACAAACATCTCAGCTCTGAAGCCGATCTTCATCTGCATGTCACACGTCACATGATCAGGAAGCAGAAAATCCATGTGTTAGGAGATCGTTTTGGGCCGTTCCTGTAAAAAAAAAGTGAGGCGCGAACCGGAAAAGCGTCTGCCAATCACAATTTGACAACAGATTATGAAAGAACGGATAACGCTCGAAACACACGGATTCTTCCTGACGTAAGAGGTGAGTCTCTTTGTTTTGGTTGTTTTGGCGTTGACATCATCCTAGCGCTCAACGTTCTGTGACTCTTAAAAAAACAGTAAAAACGGCGAGAAACGCTGGCAGCGAATGAGTTAAAATGCTGCTTATGCGCCGAGTTCAGATGAATGAGGGTTAGCGCTGCTAAGTCACTGATCATTAACCTCCGTTAGCACCAACACAACACACATAACTACCATCACCAGCTGACAGCAGCTGATGCTAACATCCTCTGTGACGCCACGTTTGCTGGTAAAGTTTCTGATCAGAAGAAAACAGACATGAATAAAAAGAGGAAGACATTGGAGCATTTCAGGTTTAGGGTGAAAATCATTTTCCTGTTCTGACGGCGTCGTGCTCTGGCTCTTAAAGAGGAGTTCCACTAACTTCTCCATCAAACCCAGTTTCATTTCATTGTTTCAGCCAAGAAAACAACAACGTTCAAGGTTTCTGGTTCTACCAAACACAAACTGTAGGTCTGAAAATCAGAATTTATTTATCAGCTAAAGTAGCGAAGAGCCGCTCTGAGACATGAGAGCGCTTGTCTTTGCTAATGAGCTGACAGAGATTTATGTCCTGACTCTGCAGCTTGTTTTAGCTCCTATTGACTTCCATCACGCAGCCCGCTGCTGTAAGTGGCAACGCTTTAATAAACCTGCAGCACTGAGCCTTGTCACTAACCAATCAGAGCCCAGGAAGCAGTGTTGCAGTGTCTACACCACTACGAGATGAACATTTGTGTAGCTAACACATGTAGCTCTGCTAATGAGTGGCAGTGTCAGGGTTAGGGTTGGGGCTGGACTAGTGATGGTTAATCCACAGGTACTCTTGATTAGATGCAAACGGCCACAACAAACATAACTGTAAGCAGGTCCTTCTTCATGTTCAGCCTTTTTAGAGTTTATAATTTAGTACAGCAGTGTGCTCATCCCAAGGTTTTTACCCTCATAACTCGAGTGTTTACTATGGTTCACCTAAGAGGTGCTTTCAGGCCCAGAACCAGGTCATCTTAAGTCTTTTTGGGCTACTTTTCAATGAAAACACAATTTAAATTATTCATTTGGTGCAGACGGCCATGCATCATTTAGTTTTAATCACAATCTAGATCATTTCCAGTGTCACCTAAAACCTGAGATTTGAATTAAAATGCACTCATCAGGTTCTGCAGACTGTAAATGTAAACGCCAAGAAATCAATGATTGTTGTTGTTTGTTTCCTATGGCTTCAAACCTTTACATCACGTCATCAAAACTGATGTTGACCAATGTGGTTTGTGTGGTTTTGCCATAGTGTGATATAGGGCTGGGCAATAAATCGAAAATTTATCTTTATCAAAATTTCTGACTCTTGTCGAGATAATTTTTCCCATGTCAATAAATGTGATAATAAAAAACGAAAAGATGTGTGTAGGTTGGCAATGTTCATGTCCCTTTAAGAAGCTGTATCACCTTGAGAAAATGTGACTACGTGATTCATGTGACAGCCCCATCTAGTGGACAACCTTTGTCTCTGCACATACCTGTAGTTATCCTCCATTTATCGTTATCGAGGTGAAGTCCTCAATATGTCGTGATATTGATTTTAGGCCATATCGCCCAGCCCTAGTGTGACATCATCGGCAGGCACAGATCTCCTGTCCTCTTTTTTGGAAATGGAAATATGGTCGCCCTACTTTTGGTGACCTCTGACCTTCACATGTTTTACGTATTTTTATCGTTTGTGGTTTCAGGAAGTTTTAACTACTTAAGAGAGGAAGGTCGGTCAATAAGTCCGAGGATTTTATGTTTTTCATTTTCTTCAAATGGTCTAAAGAGCACACGTCACCCCTCTGCTCACTGAGCTCCATCGGCTACCGCTAGCTGCATGCATCAAAATCAAATCGCTAGCACTAGCATACAAAGCCTCACTAGAAAAGGCTTCCATCACGGCCCGGCCACTCTGGTCTTCAAGACATTGTCAGCTAGCTGTGCCTGCACCACGCTCAGGACAATCCAGACTCTTCATGTGTCGTTCCAGATGTGGAATGTTCTACCAAGCACTCCATGTCCACTTCCCTCTACGACTCATCATGCTGCCTCACCCCCACCGACTGACTGATCAGTGTTCGCTGTTAGCCTCAAGGGCGACCTGCCTGCTGCTTCATTATCACCTGTAAGTGGCTTTGGACTAAAGTGTCTGCTAATACAGAAACGTCAAAACATCTAAATGCCAACACAAAGTGTTGGAGCTTTTAGCCATGTTGGTCAAGTCTTCTAAACACCAAGGTCAGGTGGTTGTGGTGGCCATGTTGAGTTAAACTTACTTCAAAGGTTAACTAGTTGTGTGTCCAATGTAGTTTTATTCATCAAATCAAATCAACTTCATTCATAAAGCACTTTCACATGGCCAAAATGGGCAAACAAAGCGCTGTACAACCAATAAAAAGCCCCACAATAGGACAAACATAAAACCATTTAAAATACAATAAGATATCCATTAGAAATACAATAAGAAATCCAAGTAAAATACAATAAGAAATCCATTTAAAATACAATACGAAATCCTGAGTGCAAGTTCGCAATCCATATCCGGCCTACTTCCCCCAACATCAATGTCCAAAAGCCAGCGAGAACAGGTGTGTTTTTAGTCTGGTTTTAAAGGTTTCCAATGATTTGGCCTGCTTTACATCAGCTGGCAACTCATTCCAGAGATGTGGTCCAAGTACTGAAAAGGCACGACTCCCACGAGACTTCAGGCTGTACCTGGGTACAGTTAGTAGTCTCTGGTCAGCTGACCTAAGGGAACGCACCGGGACATATTGGTGGATGATTTCAGAGGGATATTTAGGTGCCCCTGAGTTTAATGCCTTAAACACAAACGGGATGACCTTGAACCTGATGCGATAAAAAACAGGGAGCCAATGCAAGGCACGTAGGACTGGTGTAACATGTTCAGACCTCCTGGTAGATGTTAACACCCGAGCAGCCGAGTTCTGAACCGCCTGGAGGCGTGCTATTGGAGCTTGCCTAAGCCCCGCATAAAGTGAGTTGCAATAATCCAGCCTGCAGGTAACAAAGGCATGGATTACAGTTTCCAAATGACTGTGTGACAGAAAAGGCTTAATTTTCGCTATGTGGCGTAGATGAAAAAAGCAAGATCTCACGATTCCATTCACTTGAGCATCAAATCTGTACTCTGCATCCAGTTTTACCCCTAAGTTAGTGACCACCACCTTCTGATGCAGTGCCAGAGTGGAAAAATCAAGCCCTTGGGCACCTCCTGGGGTCCTTGGTGGCGTAAACAGAATTACTTCAGTCTTGTGTTCATTGAAACACAAGAAGTTCTGAGCCAACCATAGCTTGACGTCCTCCAGGCAGTCCAACAGAGGTTGAATGGTGCATAAACCACCACGCCTAATTGGAAAAATGACCTGGCAATCGTCAGCATATAGATGGAATGACACGTCATGTTTACGGAATAGTTCACACAGGGGTAGGAGATATAAGGAGAACAATAGTGGGGCCAAAATCAATCCCTGGGGGACTCCCCAAGGCAGCTCAGCCAGATCGGAGGAACAGTCCCCCAACCTCACACAAAAACTCCTCCCAGTTGGACCTGCAGGCTTGAGACTCCTACCCCCAGTGACAGCACCAAGTCTAAAATATGGCCACTAACGTGTGTGGATTGGTCCACTAACTGAACCAAATTAAAAGAGTCAGTGAGATTTAAAACATCTTTCAAAGGTTTATCCTGACAGCACACATGTATGTTAAAGTCCCCAAGAAGTAACACTTGATCATACTTAGGAATCAGCTCGCCAAGCAGTTCAGTAAAGTCATCTATAAAATCATAGTTTTGTCTCGGTGGGTGATATAGGAGAGCAACCAGTAGCTTCTGAGGGCATCCCAGCTCACAGAGGCAGAGTTCAAAGCTGGTAGGCGCAGAGGATGGATATACCTGCCTACACATAATCGATGACTTAAATATCATTGCCAATCCTCCACCACGCCCCGAGGGTCTCGGAACACTAAAATATGTAAAATCATCCAGGAGACGTTCCACAAAAGCATCAGTTTCATCTTTAGGGACCCAGGATTCAGTAACACACAGAAACTCCAGACCATTTGTTTCAATAAAATCGTTCAGAATAAAAGTCTTATTCATAATAGATCTGGCATTGGACAGAGCAAACCTGATGACGGAAGAAGTTGCTGTTGTACTCAAGCCTTCTGGATCCACTGGCGAGGGCTCTGCTGATTCACATACCACCTCACGTAGATTTTGTCGGTGAACTCCTCTCTTGCAAGCTCGCCGCTGTAGTGCAGGGCGCCGCGACCGGATCATCCCGCCGCCGCACACCACCGACACCAATCCAGAAGCCGCCAGATTCAACGGCAACGGATCCAACTGGTGCTCCGGCGTCCCACCGTCCCCCTCGGAGCCAACAAGTCCACACACAGCATCCGACGTACCACGTCGAGCCGATCCCAGCTTCATCCGGCGTCCGGCACG